AAAAGGGTGAATCTTATAGCCCTTTTTCCCAACTCCCTGCCCTTTGGAATGCTCACACTGGTGCTGGGATAATTAGTAAGAAGAGAATTGATGTTTGTATCTACATTCATTGGAGACGAAGGGATTACAAGAGAGTAAACAGGCACACAATGGGGAATACACATTGAAAGGAATGCACTAGCACTGGCTGTTGCCTAGTAAAGTGAGTCACTTAGGAGGCAAACAAAAGCCTTTAGTGTGAAACTGATTAGTCTTGTCAATTTCAGGCAGCAGTTGCCAGCCCCTGAGGGTTCTAATCAACTAATTAAGGTCACAGAGCTGAGCTTGTTGACTTGCAGTTAGCACATTTTAGGGAAGTGCTGTGCTGCAGATAAAAGCAGTTCAGGAGGAGATAGCTTGTTTAGGCAATCTCTCCATTCTGCAGGGGGGTGGGGGGAGAAACAAGACAGGTACAGGACAACAGGTATTAACTGACTGTAACGAGGAACACATGACTGAGAGACTGTGCAATGTGGGCATTGATCCCAAAGTTACTTTTTCATCACCATCATAACTGCGAACAGTCCCTGTCTGAGGCAGTTGCTAAACAAGAACTACCTGTACATTTATGCTGGATATGCCCTATTGGATAGCAGCACTTATCTGATATGGAAAGTTTAGCAAGATTGGTCATAGTTAATACTTGGAGGAGTGTAGATGGAAATCTCCATGTAAGTATGGATACAGCATGTGGCAGTACCTGATCAGCTTGTCTAAGCAGGGAACATGAATGAAAAACTATCAGGAAATACCATGGCTGTAGACTAAACTGGGAAGTTGAAAAACTTGCTGAACAAAAGGCATGATGAACTATTTCCATACTGCCATCAATAGAACTGGATGGACATGTCCACATCAGAGGGTCAAACAGGATTCAAGGGAGTCCTTACCTTAGTTTACCTTCCTCCCTCCCTCCCTCCCTCTTTCTCTTAGTATTCCTTGACTAGATGGGATATTTCTGCAATCTCTCAATTGTGGCAAAGTACCTATTAAACTGGGATTGTTGCTAATACTGACAAAAAGGTTTCACTGAGAAAACAGTGAAAGTGTTTTCTGATTTTCCAATAGAGAAATGGAGATTGTATAAACTTTCCATCCCAACACACTTATCCATGCTTCATTTCATCATAGCTTATTCAGATAACCTAATGTTCTGTATTTGCATTAGATCCTAACCACTCCCCTGCTCTCATTAGTACAATTCTGAATTGATTACTTGCAGAAGACTCGCTCGATCTCTCTGTTCATTTCCCCCTACATACATTCCCATATTATGTTTCAGAACATTAATAAAAGCTGGGTTCTCATTCTTCATATGTGCTAGACAGTTGGTACACTTAACTTGCACCAAAGCCATAGCATGAACATGGCCAATGCTAGCATAAAATATCAATGGGCAACTTTGAAGGGCTCAAGTACATTTGAATGTCCCCATATCTTATACGCCTTTCTAAATTTGCAGCCTCTACACCTGTTTTAATTACATTTATCCTTATTTTTAGAGATTTCATTGCAGATCTTCATCGTATGTAGTTTGGACTTGAGCTGCTGCTGCTGCTGCTGCTGCTGCTGCTGCTGCTGCTGCTGCTGCTGCTTCTTCTTCTCCTCCTCCTCCTCCTCCTCCTCCTCCTCCTCCTTCTTCTTCTTCTTCTTCTTCTTCTCTTTCTTCCTAGTCCTGTTGCAAATGTTCCTTTCCTCTTTTTTTCAGGTGGGGGAAAAGAAGCTGTTGTTGTTATTTCTTCTATGTCTATCATTTTTCAGTTCATAATAGTAATTCCATTTTTCTTGTTCTTTTACCTTTTTTTTCTCCCAGGAGTATTTGCATTTGGTCTTTTTGCCACCAACATATTTGTAAATGCTGGCCAGGTAGTGACGGGAAACTTGGCACCCTATTTCTTGACTGTCTGTAAACCCAACTACACTGGGAGTGACTGCCGAGCTCACCACCAGTTTGTTAACAATGGAAATATCTGCACTGGCGACCAAGATGTGATTGAGAAGGCAAGGAGATCTTTCCCATCCAAACAAGCTGCTTTAAGCATTTATTCAGCCTTATATGCTACAGTAAGTACATAAAGAGGTTCTACTTTTACCTGTCCTGTTCTTCATTTATCACTTCTGACTGCTTCAAGGCCCTCTCATTTCTCTTAGGACTTAAATGCAGAATCACAGAGGTCTGCCATGACACTCTTGCCGAGCTGTACCATATCACAATCAAATGACCATTGTCTTCTCCTCATTGTGCTCATGTTTATTTCTAGAGAGTGCTTGGGGAATATTCTAACACGCAATCCACAGATGGAGGCTAGAAGTGACAGAGTCCGGTAAAACAAAAAAACAAAACAAAAAACTGATTTTGCTGGTTGTAAAATATAGGCAAAGTCACTCCTAGACTATAATGGTTTATATGCTCCGTCATCTTATTTTCAAAAAGATTTTCAGGACCTCCAGAGCAAGCAGGAAAGCAGCAGCTCCCCTTTATTGCTGACCCATAGCTTCTGGTATTCACAAAAATCAAACACTTGGAAAAAAAACCTTACAGGATATCTAGTCCAACCCCATGCTTAATGTAGGGTTTGTTAAAGCATATTGGATAGATCAGATTCTGTTTGAAAATCTCCTGTGAAGGTGACAATACCATTGTATTTAATAGCTGTCAACCAGTGGAATAGATTGCCTCATGAAATGGTATTTCATGAGGCAATCAATTCCACTGGTTGACAGTGGTTAAATCTGGAAATTTCTCTTCATATCTAATCTAAACCTACTCCCAGTAGTAACCCAGTAGTTCTGGTCCTGCCCTCTGAGGCGTCACAGAATGCATCCACTCCCTTGTCTATATGTTAACCTTTTAAAAATCTGAAAGCTGCTATCATATACCCCTCAGTCAACAAAGCTAGTGGAGATGACAGTATTCCAGCTGAGTTATTTAAAATACTAAAAGATGATGGTGTTCAAGTGCTGCACTCAATATGCCAGCAAGTTTGGAAAACGCAACAGTGGCCACGGGATTGGAAAAGGTCAGTTTACGTTCCAATTCCAAAGAAGGGCAATGCCAAAGAATGCTCAAACTATCTTACAATTGTGCTCATTTCACATGTTAGCAAGGTTATGCTCAAAATCCTACAAGCTAGGCTTCAGCACTATGCAAACCAAGAACTACCAGATATACA